GCGTCCCCCAAATTAGCTCAAGGGGAAACCCCAGAACAGTGTGCAGGGGGAAGTGATTCTGTTGGATAAGCAGAAATGCTTGCATTAACATAATGTTTGCAACAGTGTGGTGTTGAATTCCCTCTAAAGTAATTATATTTTATGTGCAATGCTGAACACATGGGTTCCATAATTGTGACGCCCTTACTGCTAGATGGTGCCTTTATTATCACAGAAATATCTGTGTTGAATGTTTTGGTATTATGAAGCATGGGGCAAGTACTACGACACGACTGCATTTCATTGGATAAAATAGTTGGATTGAAGTTTGTAGATATGGTCTCTCTCCCATCCCATACTGGCCACATGGAGGATTCTGGGTTTGATTTCTAGCATTCAACAAAGCAGGAAAATCTCTCTCTCTCTCTGCTTGAGGCCAAGAAAGCTGACTCAATACAAGTACATTTCATATGTTTAAATATTCATTTGCGCAATTTTAAAAATAGTGAAGCAAGTTGGAACTATTTCCCCTAGTCTTTGTGGAGAAAGGTTTTAAAACAACAACCCACAATCCAAAAAGAGGTTTTGCGTGATAGTAAGCAAAGAGGGAGGGACGCGGGTGGCACTGTGGGTTAAACCACAGAGCCTAGGAGTTGCCAATCAGAAGGTTGGCGGTACGAATCCCCGCGACGGGGTGAGCTCCCGTTGCTCGGTCCCTGCTCCTGCCCACCTAGCAGTTCGAAAGCATGTCAAAGTGCAAGTAGATAAATAGGTACCGCTCCGGCGGGAAGGTAAACGGCGTTTCCGTGCGCTGCTCTGGTTCACCTGAAGTGGCTTAGTCATGCTGGCCACATGACCCGGAAGCTGTACGCTGGCTCCCTTGGCCAATAAAGCAAGATGAGTGCCACAACCCCAGAGTCGGCCACGACTGGACCTAATGGTCAGGGGTCCCTTTACCTTTAAGCAAAGAGGACTGAATTCAACTAATGAGTCCTGTCAGTGGAGGCCTGCACAAGAATTTCTCTTGTACAATTCTCTTGTACAATTCCTACATAATGTCTCCCAGGCCCCGGCTAGAAATAAACTGCCAGTCACTCCATACAATTAACTATTTACGGGCTGAAAAGTTTATTTTAGCAGAACAACATCCACATATGTAACTTTACCTTTCTCCACACAGACTATTATTTTTCATAACAATTGCAACTTAGCTGTTTTCTATTCATTTGAGGAAACTTTAAACATCTGTTTTGAAAGCTTGTGTCAATTATTTGCTTAAGACCGAACGTCAGAACATTTAGCGATCTGAGATTTTTATCTGCCAGCAGGATTCTTTCAGTTTTTATATTTAGCTTTATTCTTGTATTTTTCAAGTTTCGTTTCCTTCCTTGCTAAGGCAAACATCTTGAAAATGACTGCCTCTCAAGATTTGTTTTAGATAAAAGAACCAGATATTTATTCTCCTTTGGCTTTTGAAGTCTAGCAAACAGACAAAATTAGCAGTAGTTCACTGGTCACAAGACAACTGCCAATTAGTCTGCTAAGACAAATGCTAGATTTTAAAGACTTATGCTAAAAGAGAAAGTTATAAAATATCAGCATCAATGGCCTTTTGTGGGGGGGGGGAGAGAAAGTATTTTTAGAAATACAAAATTGTTCACTGTTGTTCCCTTGAACAACTGACATAGGGGAAATATTTTATTCTCAAAAACCAGCCACACTGGTCATTATCTTTGATAAATCAGGAATAGTAAAAAGTATGGATGCTGTGATGATCAGCCAAGTTTGATTTCCAATATGTATATAGTAGTTCCACTGGTGCAGACAAATATACCAGATTTTCCTGTTATCTGATTCTACTTTATTTCTGGGGTGGCGGAAATTACTGGCAACGGAATGCACAAACTCCTGTGCATGGTTATTGGGAGGGGGGTATATATCTAGTTGGCTCTCCAAATAAGTGTTTTTGCTCAAAACTTCGAAACTCCTTACAAACTTAGTGTTTATTATTTACATTGCATACACACAGAATGTTTATTGGGGTGGGGTATATGGGAATTGTTTGTTGGTGTATTGTTATAAACTGGAAAATAAATATTAAAAAACGTTTTTGTGCTAGCCTGGGAACTGTGTGTACAGATTTGTGTTCAAATGAAAGCCTCTGTAAACATACAAATAGGAGAATGTGCACATAGGGAGGATAGGGAGACAAGAAAAGGATGCAGCTGAAATCAACCATATGAAAGATTTTTGTTGCTGGCTGGCAGTCTGCAGGCTTGGGGACCTGCTCTTACTTTTGAACATTCGTGATACTTTCAAAACTAGAACTTTTGGTCTGGAGGCCAGGGAGCTCATCCTTGCTCAGCTTGTATGTTTGCAAATAGAGACTCCACAAAAAAATTCTGGTAATCTCTCATCATAAGGAAACTGATTTGGTAATGATTGTCCCTGAAAGTTCCTAACACTTGGGGATGTGGAGATCACTTCACATTATAGAGTTGTTCTATGCATTACTCTCGACTCAAATTGTAGAATTTGGGATGCAGCATTTCAAATTGCAGATGGGGTATCACATTTTTTAATTGTTTTCAAAGTTTTTAAAAAAGAGAGAGTTCCTGACATGCAGAAAACTAGAACAACAAAGGAGAAATAGCATAGCTCTTTCCCCTATTTTATAGTTTGCCACACTAGGGGTTTATTTTTTGTTTATTTTTTTACATAGGGAAGCATTCAAAAAACGATACCCACCTTTGGTATAAAGTGGTGGGACAGCGCCTCATTCTGCATAATGTGTCAAATAGATCTTGGACAATCAATCTCATGATTTTAGTTGTATGATTCATCCTTTCCAAGTCAAATAATAATGCGGAACATTTTAAAGTGTGCTAAAGATTGCTATCTGCACCGATATAATTATACAATTTGCAGTAACAAGAGTCAGCTTGTAATGTTGGATGGAATCAGCAACCTCTTGCTTCTGGCACATTGCAGTAGAACATGGGAATAAAGTATAAACCAAGGCAATATTAAATGTAACCACCACTATCAGTTTGACAGAGTACATGCCAATGCAGTCAAAATAGTCTCTGGAAATTTTAGTGAAATGCAGTCTTTCACTGGAGAATAACTGACACACTGAGGGAAAGCCATTCCTCAGTATTCCGATCCATGGAGTAGTCCTCTCGTAAGAAATAGGTTTTGACTTCCCCAGTTCAAGGTGAACTGTCTTGAAGCACTCTTTATAGAGTACTTTTAAGTACGTACCCTTAAGTCACAGAGAAATTAGAGCTGACATTTTGAGTACAGGCGACTATTAACACGCTGTGTAATGGCAGCTTTTATGACTATTGGGGGTGGGGGTGGCGTTACCTAAGTAAACCTCTCAAAATGGCAAAAGCGCAATAAATTAATGCTGTATTAATGATGGCATGTGAAACAGAACTGCGGGTAGAGAGTCGAATTCTACAGCAGGAGAATATCCATCTACGTTATTACTGTGTCTGGACAGCAACAAAAGGGGAGGGGAGAACTCAGCACCACAGAGATCCAGATCTTCCACTTTGGTTTCCCAAAGAACAGAGCCAGAAAGGTAGATGCAACTCAACAACTTGCGTGTTTATTTTTTATTTTAAAAAGCAGACATAAAAACAAACAAAGGTGAGGTTAGACCAGGTGAATGCCCCTCCCACTCTTTGCCAACCTCACTTTCAAGGCCCTGAGTTGGACCTTCCATGGAAGTACAGTGGTACCTCGGGTTAAGTACTTAATTCGTTCCGGAGGTCCTGAAACTGTTCTTAACCTGAAGCACCACTTTAGCTAATGGGGCCTCCTGCTGCAGCTGCGCCGCCGGAGCATGATTTCTGTTCTCATCCTGAAGCAAAGTTCTTAACCCGAGGTACTATTTCTGGGTTAGCGGAGTCTGTAACCTGAAGCATATGTAACCTGAAGCATATGTAACCCGAGGTACCACTGTATGTTGCTACTCAGGACTGTATCTGTTGCTACTCATCTTGCTGCTCTCTCTTTCTCCTGGCTTCCCAGTCAGGATGAGGTTGCAGCAGCCTATGTCCACTCTGTCCCTGGCTCTGTTTTGGGGCCCAGCTGGCCACCATTTTGGTACTTTGGTGCCCACCATGCTACTCCCTAGCACGAGGCAGTGCCTCTCTCTCCTCAGTTTCTTGGTTTCACCAAGATTCTTCCTCCTCAAACATTCCTGACTCCTTTCTTTGCCCCTCCCTTTTTCCTTTATGCAGAATCCACCAAGTCTACCCACTTCCGGTTTACTCATCCTTCAGCCCTTTGACTGGTCACAACCCCCTTCCTATCTACCTTAGGCTTTCCTCTCCTTTGCCTAAGATAAGGATATTTCTTGAGCGCTGGTCCTTGGGTAGCCAAAATTATCCACACATGAGAGGGAGGTATCCCTGTATAGGGAAGTTTTTAATGTTTGATGTTTTATTGTGGTTTTATATTTGTTGGAAGCTGGCCAGAGTGGCTGGGGCAACCCAGCCAGATGGGAGGGGTACAATTATTATTATTATTATTATTAGTAGTAGTAGTAGTAGTTTTGGGGAACCACAAAATTTGTAGAAGGGCAAAAAATATTTAGCGAAAACCCTTAGAGAAGACCACCCCCCAAAAAACCAGTCCAATAAAGATTGAGCATGCACAGTGCACACGGAATGTTGACTGTTGAGCAGCAGGGGAGGGGAGAACGGAAAGCTGGGATAGGGAGCGGAATGGACTAGGATTTCTGGAATGATGAACAGGAGCATTCCACACCACCATATTTGGTTGCAGGTTCTATTTCTGCACCCTTAATTCAGAACAACGTGTGGTATATCTGTTGGTCGAGTGCATGAACATGCATTAGAAAAATGTGCATAAATGATGGAGAGCAAGTCTTCTTCCTCATTTAAAATAAACTGTGGTACGCTTATGAAAACCTTATGGGTGCATCACCATCAATACCATTAGCACTTTTAAATAAATAAAAAAAGGGTACCGCTGTTCTTCCCTACCTGTGACTTTCAGTCTGTCTGCTCCAATGACGATCTCTTCTTCGTCGGCAGAGAAGAGCACCCTTCCATCTTCACTGGAGCTCACTTCAAATCTCTTACACTGGGCTTCTACAGCATCAGCACCTAAGGAGAGAAAACAAAGCTTTGAGGCAGAGGCCACCACTTACACGATGAGCTCAAGCATTTCACTCCCACCACTGCAACTTTCACCATTTCTGAAAGGTAGCTGGGGATGGCCACCTAGTTTCTTGGCAGGGGGGTTTCAGAACTGTCAAAATGGGCTGGGATGTAAGGTGGGTATTTTGATCCCCAATTAATGTCTCAGTGAATGGCACAATTCTTTTAATCACACCCTGCGGATATTTTTGGAAGCATATATGCAAATTAAATGCCTAACTGATGTATCCTCGAAGCCCGTTAAAGGGGAAATCTGCAAAAATTTCATCCCCCCCCCCAGACACACTTCCCCTGATTACTTTGGAACTAGGCAAGACTAGGTAGTTGACTATTGTTTAAGTGCCCTTTATACTTGTTGACTTTGTTGCCCTAATCACAAACAATTTTTGCTGTGTGTGACATCAGCACACATAGGTGGGATTCCCGTAAAAAAATATTTTACATGGGACAAGTTTCAGACATGGCCTTTACATTAGAAGGATTTTTAAGGATTGAGAAGGCCTACTTGTATGCATATGAATTGCATTTGCAGTAGCTCTGGACTTCAGTTTAGAGTGTCGCATGAAGCTAAAGACTAATTGAGACTACTCAGCCTGACTCTCATGTCAATGAAAAAGAATGCATGTTTTGATATATGCTTATGTATCACAGGCATCTTAATAAGAGAGCAAGGAATGGCTGCAGCCCCCCCCATCAAATTTGCTTGAGAATCCACATTTGCCATAATTCATTGTGTGGAATTTCTTTAGTGTGGACATCCCTTTGTGAAGATGGCTTACACCCCTTGAGTCTTGCTGCTGAAGGGGTCAGGATCATAATAATTTATTATTTATACCCTGCCCATCTGGCTGGGTTTCCCCAGCCACTCTGGGCGGTTTCCAACAAAAGAGTTAAAATACATTAAAACATTAGTCATTAAAAACTACCCTAAGCACTGGAACTCAGTGTCCTGGCTGAACGATGAGGGTGGAGATGCTCCTTCAGGTATACTGGGCAGAGGCCGTTTAGGGCTTTAAAGGTCAGCACCAACACTTTGAATTGTGCTCGGAAACGGACTGGGAGCCCATGTAGGTCTTTCAGAACCGGTGTTATGTGTTCTCGGCGGCCACTCCCAGTCTAGCTGCCACATTCTGGACCACATTCTGGATTAGTTGTAGTTTATGGGTCACCTTCAAAGGTAGCCCCAAGTAGAGTGCATTGCAGCAGTTCAAGCAGGAGATAACCAGAGCAAGTGTTCATCATAACTTATCTGCACCCAGGATAGCTTTCATGCATTACTTATACAAATATCAGCTTACGTCCAATTGGCCAGAACCTCCCACCGGTCCACCTGCCAACGAAGGCATATGTGGCAAGCCTCCAAGTCTTACAGATAGCTTTCCTCTCTAGATCAGTAACCAAGCACACCAAGCCCACAGATAAGTGTAGCATCAGAGCAAGCCAATTAGCATATATCAAAGCAAGTGAATAAACATATATGAGCTCATTCTTTCAGCAACTACCAATTAATCCTGGGGTTATCTTGATGATCAAGATAACCCTTTTACAGGCCTCCCGGAACATTGCCACCTTTTGGTTTTATACAGTTTAGTAGTGTGATTGCAGTAGACTTTAATTGTTAGTAACATACAAATACTGTACCATTTAAATAATACAGTTCTTGTTAAGTTTTGTCTTAACAGACAAATCTTTATTATGGTGTGAATGTTTTACAGAAAGCTTATGAATTTCCTGTGGTACAAAATAAAAAGCTTTCTTTTAATGGTGCTTTTGAGAATTAACCCCAAATATGAACAATTTGAAAAAGACCTGGGTTATATCCAGAATTCTCAGATAGATAAATGGGCATGATATTTACTTAGGACCTGGATGTCTTTATCATGTTTTTAATATTCTGTTGGGAGCCGCCCAGAGTGGCTGGGGAGACTCAGCCTGATGGGTGGGGTATAAATAAATTATTATTATTATTATTATTATTATTATTATTATTATTATTATGACTTTTAGATGACCAAAGCCAAATAGCTAGTTTGTTTATTCTCAGTAGGTTGTAGTCAGATTAATCATGCTTAGAGTAGACCCACTGAAAGCAGACACTTCACTTTGTGACTATTTTGCATGTTCAGACCTTTAAACCTTCCCCTTAAATAAATTCAGACAAGACTCAAAATTTTGGTTTGGTTTTTGGCAGAATTTAGGCCACAACTTTATTGATTACAGCAAGTGAGTGGTTGCATGGGCTCTGGTTTGACTAGCTCCCTGCACCGTTGCAGGTAGCGCTGACCCAGGGCACCAGCATAGGTCAGCCTAGGGTGAACACCCAGATAGGCGGAAAGCCGGGAACAGGCTATGTCCACCACCCAGATGTCCCCCTGGACTCAAGGCATGGGCACAACCCCCTCACAGGGTTGACCAAACCATTGAGTCCCTGGATTCCTTTAACAGAATACCCTTCACATAGGGATGGCAAGAGCGTTCCCCCATCCCTATCACCTGAACCAGAGCCTATCCACAACCTTACAAGTTGTGATGATTTGCTACGCGGCAGGCAAAACCCAAATGGCACCAGCCAATCAGCCAAGTGGGGGAAATTCCTGTCGCGCCCCTGTCCCAAGACAGACGACTGACGACAGCATAGCAAGGTCAAGCGGGCAAGCTCTAAATATAGGGAGAGGTGGGCGGGTGTGCATGCACCGAAAGAGGAAGCTCTGGGTCACGTGTATAGGTATACATAGGTCCCTTGATGCGTTCAGCTTGCGTCCCATTGATCTGATTAAACCCTGCATCAAGGGACCTACCAACTGGATGTCGTGGCTATCCAAACGTACCCACCCACAACACAGGGTTTGGTTGCCAGGTCTCACCGCAACACATGCCCTCTTTAAGGGAGGACCCAATTAAGCAATGATGGGGGCGCCAGCATAATAGACTCAAGAGTTCACTCATCCAGCTGGGAGTAGAGCAACGGGTCAGCCACTCTGCCACCTGAAGTTTTGCCAACTCACACCAGATGTGATGGAAGGCGGAGGCTGTGTCAGCTACAGGCTAGTGCAGCTTAGGATCGGGCACACTGACGTGACTCTGCTTTGCCCTTGCAACACCCTGTTTCAAAGCCCTGTGCTGGCTACCATCAGTGGAATCATCCCCAGTGGTAGAGCTTGACTCACAACCAGAGGCGGAGGAAGCCACTCGGGCGCCTGGGGCGGGGCGAGCTGCTCATAGGGGCGGGGGCAAGGGCAGGGCAAGCTGCCCATAGGGGCGGGGCATACCACGGGGCCTCCAGAGTCTGCCTCTCTCCTCCCACTCAGCTGCCCTACAGGTGGGGGTGGGGTGGCAGCAGGCGGGTTGTTTGGGCAGCGCAGAGCCTGCATGCGCCCGAGCCACTGCGTCTCTCCCAGGAGAGACGCATGGCTCGGGAGCACTGCAGGTCCTGCGGCGAGTGCCGCCCAGCATTTTGTCATTCCCCTTCGTCCACCCCTGCTCACAACACAGCTGGAGTGGCAGCCTTCAAGGCAGCAGAGCCTCCCACATGGGCAGATAAACACCTTCACAAAATTTGCATGTATGTTTGTGGTCTGTATGTGTCAGTATGTTTCCAAGCACAATTCAAAGTGTTGGTGCTGACCTTTAAAGTCCTAAATGGCCTCGGTCCAGTATACCTGAAGGAGCGTCTCCACCCCCATTGTTCTGCCCGGACACTGAGGTCCAGCTCCGAGGGCCTTCTGGTGGTTCCCTCACTGCAAGAAGCTAAACTACGGGGAACCAGGCAGAGGGCCTTCTCAGTAGTGGCGCCCGCTCTGTGGAATGCCCTCCCATCAGATGTCAAAGAGATAAACAACTATCTGACTTTTAGAAGACATCTGAAGGCAGCTCTGTTTAGGGAAGTTTTTAATGTTTGATGCTTTATTGCTTTTTTATTATTATATTCTGTTGGGAGCCGCCCAGAGTGGCTGTGCAAACCCAGTCAGATGGGCGGGGTATCAGACAATAACATATTTCATTCTGGATCAATGAGAACATAGTCAAGTCAATGAAAACATATGATATACAGTACTCTGCATGCTACTGGAACCCACCCACAAATATGCTTTCATGTTTGCACCCTTTTGAACAATTCATATTACAAATTTCAAAGTCCTTTAACATTCTCAGGGCCCTAATAACCTCTGATGTGGATAACTGAAAGTTCTAGGGAAAGATCTGGGTAAATTACAGATACTAATCTTGTTTGGTGCATCCATCGACTATTTCAAGCAGCTAATTTAATAAAGACTGAAAAAGCAAGAAATGGGAGCAAGCACAGGGGTTTGAAGGCTGAATCATTTTTTGCTGAGACAAAATGCTAACTGAAAATATTTTCTGAACAGCTTGGTGCTTTAAAATGTTCTTAAACATAATGAGAAAATGGGGTGTATGTGTGCCTGCAACAAAGGAGAGGCAATGATCAATATTAGAAGGTCTGGAGGGTGGAAAAGGGAAGGTCAGTAAATAAAGAAACCTGTTGACATGACAGAGGAGAAAAAGATTATTGTGAACAGTCTCAAGCAACATGCAATGTCTGGTTTAAGTCTGAATTCCTTCGGACATTTAGCAAACTAGCAGAAGAAACAGAAGAAATGAGCAGTTAGGTACTAAAATGCAAGAAATAAACCAGAATTAAAAGAAACAGCAAGAGTTAAACTTAGGAGGTGCATAAGGAAAAATAAGAGAGACAGGCTCACAGCACAAAAGGTGCAATTTCTTTTCACAGCTTTATACAGTGGTACCTCGGGTTAAGTACTTAATTCGTTCCGGCAGACCACTTTAGCTAATGGGGCCTCCTGCTGCTGCCACGCCACCAGAGCATGATTTCTGTTCTCATCCTGAAGCAAAGTTCTTAACCTACTATTTCTGGGTTAGCGGAGTCTGTAACCTGAAGCGTATGTAACCCGAGGTACCAATGTATA